TCACAAAGTGAGCTTTGCTGTGTAACCACACTCACACTCACTCTCACTCATCTTCCCACCTGACAAGTCTTTCTCATGTCCTCTGCAAGTCACTGTCCCACTCCAGAGGTAACCACTGTCCTGAATACTGCCATCATATTTCTATCATATATTGCTTGTAAGTCTTTGATCTTTACCCAAATATTTCATAGATTTTCTATCGTAGGAATACTTTTGTTTTTCTCTTTGTTTCTGGTTAGTCATTATTCATTCTTCTTACAAGGATGGTATACAATGGGTTCTTTTTTGCTAGATTTCTGCAGGTAAATCTTTGACAGAATTCTAATTCTGAAGATAAGGAAGTTGCTGTGATTGAAATGAAATGGGGCCAGGATGGGAAGACTTAAATCTACAGGGTCTAAGGAACTCCTTTTGAAAAGTCATGAGGTAGGTGCTTCAACCATGGCAGAGAGTTTGCAGACTTTCAATTTTCTGACTTGATACCTAGTTATGAGTTATTTATTAGTGCTGAGTGGAAATAAAACTGGTGCTACTAAGGAAGAATTATTGTCATTGGATCAAGAAAAACCATGACTCTCTTTATTTTTCTTTGGAGCATCAATACTGATTCATCTTTGATTTATAACTTAATATCATTGGGAAATTGTCCTGGCTCATGTAAAATGCCCCAAACACAGCTCTTTAGCTATAAAATCCTGTTAGAATTCAGTCTTTCAATTATTTGACAAGTGACATCATAGAGTATCTATAATTTCACTTTTGTGTATTTCATACTTGTTCTTGTAACTGATTCCCCAGGCTTTTCTTGTGATATTGGGTTGGTCATTTGATGGATCTGGTGATGTCTTTTCTTTGTCATAGTATTCTTCTCACTTTAGAGTATACATAGGGTATATGGATAGGTAATGCATTTGTTGATTTGGAAACCAGACTTCAGATTTCTTTCTTTTATTCCCATTTTTACTTCCGTATAATCTATAAGGACTCATGCTCAAGTTAATGAAAGCTGTCAGTATACTTGAAAGAAGATAAATCTAGGTTACCCTAAAATACACCCATTGACATATGATTTCAAATAAATTGAGGCATATTTGTTGAGAAAATTATTTTAGTTTTAGTATAAATTTTATTTGAGTCTAGTTTTATATTTTTATCTAGAATAATCTTAAGATTGTGCAGTTAACTGCTTAGGATGTGATGGCAAATTTGAAAAAAGAGACCACATAGGTTTTCAACACCTAATAAAAGAGATAATGTAGCCAAATGGAGATCTGACCTTCCTAGTCACTGCAGAATATTGTCTGGGTTTTATATTTCCTCAGCAAATGTCCTGGACAGTAATATCATTGAAAATATTTGCATTTGTCCCTCTCCCTCCTCCTCCTTGATTCTCCATTAACATTGTCCTCAACCAGGAAGGAAAAGTTTTATTGCAAAAGGAGAAAGGTGTTGTCCTAGGGATTTTAATTTTGGGAAATTCCCGACTCTTTTAATTTTACTTTGTGGATATTGAAGAACGTATTTGATTTGTAATCCTATAAATTGAGAGCAGACCTAGGTAGTCTAATATGTCAGCCACTTAAATCCCTATCTGTACAAGCTATTTTTGGCCAAATAAAATTTGTCTGTGTTGGCAAGCAACTCCATAGAAGCTGATTGCTGGTGTCCTGTCCCATGGTTAGGCTGCTTTATTTGGTTGTGGTGCATGGACTTGTATTTTCACCTTGGAAATCCATACAGGTACATGTACAACATACACAGGAAGAGAATCCAAAGCATACAATAGGTTTTGAAGTGGAATGAGGACATCCTTTCAACCTTGTACTCTTGTTCCCTTTCCTTTAAAGTAATCATCACCCCTGGGTTTTTTTTTTTTTTTTTGGTAGCTTCTCTAAAATTTTATTTATATAATTTTATTTCCATGAACACTCATGTACCCACACACATGAGCTTTGACAATTACTAATGACCTTACTTTGTTCACTTACTACATTTTGCGCATTACACATCTATCTTTTTCAAGAGCTTAATAACCTCTGTGGTATGGATATGTGCTACTTCATTAAAGCACTCCCTTATTAATGGAGTGATTTAATATTTTGCTTTTATGTATCTATAATAAACATACTTGAATGTTTCTTTTGGCATCTGTGCCAACACAAGTACAGAATATATTTCTTAAAGTATAATTGCTGAGTTCAAAGAATGTGTATGCTACATTTTGATAAATATTTCTAATTTGTCTTATAAAGAGATTTCTCTACAGAAAAGATACTGCATCCCCATACTTTCACCAACACTCAGCATTTAAAAATTCCTTTTATTTCTACCGTTGTCATAGGTAGAAATGGAATTAATCTTCTTCTTTATTCAATTTGCCATCTGTTTCTTGACTTTTAATGAAATTACCAAAAAAGTCTAAGAGCTTTTTTAAAAAATAATTGCACATATCATATAAAAAATTAAAGACCCAGAGAAGAATCACAGATCAAAATTGTGAAGCTTAATAAATCTTCATACAGTGAAAACAGCTGTGTAGTCATCATTCAAATTCACTTATCTTTCCACTTGAAAAACTCTTTTCATGTCCCCTTCTGGTCACCGGCCCCAGATATAACCACTATCATGTCTTCAACCACCACAGACTATTATCTGTTTTTCAAGTTTATTCAAACAGGATCAATAATAGATAAATCTAATCAATACTTTTGTGTTTGCCTTTTGTGGTCTTGTTATTTGTTGAGGTTCATGTATATAATTGTGATTAGCTGTGATTCATTTATAGTCATTGTTGTGTAGTATTCCAATGGATGAATACTCAATCAATTTATCCATTCTACTATGAACAAACATTAGGGTTGTTTCCATTTGGGGCAACATGAATAATGCTGGTGTGGGCATTTGTGTAAGTATCTCCTGGTATCCATATGTATATGTATTGAGCATACATCTAGAAGTCTAATGGTTGAGTCAATATGATCAGCTTTTATAGATGCTGATATTACATTTTAAAAAGTTTATACCAATTTAAATTTTTGTTCCCAGTTTTTGAGGGTTTCAATTCAACATTTTAAAAGATCACCCTCTTTAGCTTTCTCTGGGTATTTAGTGTTATCTCTGTGTGGCTTTAATTGTATTTTCCCTGGTTACTGGTTACTAATGAAGTTAAACATGTTTTCCTGTGCTTATTGGTCATTTGTGTATCAACTTTCATAAAGAACCAGTTAAGTCTTTTGCCCATTTTCCTATTATTTTTCTCTTATTATTTGTAAAACTTCTTTATAGTTCTCTATACAAGTCCCCTGGTAGTTGTAAAGTATTATAAATATCTTTTCCCACTCTATAGCATGCTGTTTGCTCTTTTAATGGGGTCTTTTAATGCAGTTCTATTTGCTACCTTCCCTTAGGATGAATGCATTTATGTCCTGTTTATGACTTTTTCTTCCTCTAGGATTATTAAAATACTTTCCACTATTTCAGATGTCTCCAATGTCATCCTTTGCCTTACGTACTTAAATCTATCGCTCAGATTGGTACGTTTTTATATATGGTGTGAGGTAGGGTCAAGATTCAGTGATTTCATGTGAATGTCTAATTGACCCAACAGTTTTAAATGACGAGAACTCTTTCCCAGTGTACATTAGGTATGTAATTTTCTTGTATGTAAATCAAATGGCCATATGTGTGTGGATCTTGGGTTCTATGGTCTTTTTGTTTATCCTTGTACCAGTACCATTTTTCTTTTTTCTTTTTTTTTTTTTTTTAACTATAGCTTTGAATCTTGATGTCTGGTAGTGACTACCTTCCAGTTTTTTTTGTTGTTTAGGATTATCATGGTTATTCTTGACTCTCTACTTTCCAAGTAAACTTTAGGATTATCTTATTCTCTCCCAGGAAAACTGGCTGGATTTTGATTGATAATATTGAGCCTTCCAGTCTATAAACATGGTGTATCTGTCCCTACATTTAGTCTCATTTCATCCAGTGTGTTATTTTTCTAGGTGAGGTCTTGAGCATTGTTGTTTTAGTTTCATTAGTTTATTCCTCAGTATTTTATTTGTATGATGTTTAAATAGTATCTTTTAAAAATCGCACTTTCTTAACGTTCATGGCTATATAGAAATAACTGGTATTTGTATATTGGCTTGGTGTATGGGGGCCTTGCTGAATTCCTTTCTTCATTCTCTTTAGTTCCCTAGTTATGTTTACCAGTTTTTCAAGACCTCACGGTTCTAATCATTGTGGCTTTAGGGAGAGCTGGGCATGAAGGGAGCAGCAGGCAGCTTTGAGTATTTTTTCCTCAGGGCACTTTACACCCCATCTGTCTGCCTTTGGTAACATCTTTCTGCCTTTTAAGCAAAAGACCGCCTGGCTGACAGGGAAGCCTTGGCTCCCCTTGTTGACAATGCCATTGACATTCCAACTGCCTGATTCTTGTACTCATGGCTGGCTGGCAGTTACTTCTTAGGTTTCACTGTGTAGTGTGTGGAATCAGGGAAAGGGCTCAGGAGCAAATGCTGTAGCTCACTCCCACACTAGGTATTGGCATGAGAGGGTAATTGTTTGGTGCCACCTAATTGTGAAAACCTGAGTCATACCTCAGATTCGAATGAGGTATGTTGTCAGCTTTCAACGTCTTCCCCCAGTACAGTCTACACTTTAGTTAGTGGATGTCTTTTGTTTGTTTTTAATTTAGTTATAGTTGGACACAATACCTTTATTTATTTAATTATTTATTTTTATCTGATGCTGAGGGCCTCACTCATGCTAGGTGAGTGCTCTACTGCTGAGCCACATCCCCAACCCCAATGTGGATATTGTTTCTAAATGAGGGCTTTGGGGATTGACTGTATTCTTTCCCTAGTTTTCTATGGTTTGTCTTACTTTGGTAGGTTTTCTTTTAGGAGGATGGCAGGAAGGAAGAGGAAAAAAAGCTTTATTCTACTATGTTTAACTTTTATTCCCAGGGTGGTAATGTTAATGATCTTCTAATGATTTGATTCAGTTCAAATGAGTAAATATTTATTCAGCACCATTTCTTTAAGCCAAGTCTTTAAAGCCTAATTCAATATATTCCTTTTCCTCACAATGTGCTGTGTTCTTCAATGTTCCCTTAGCAGCCTTCAACCAAAGAGGTTCAATGTGCAGAATGATACCAGAAGCACCAGACCAGGGAAGATGACCTTGGTGTATGGGAGCATGACCTTGGTGACAATATCCACACTATTGCTCTAGGGCCCACAGCATTAACTTTAGGTTCTGGCATGAATTCATCATTTTATGTTAACAACTAGATATTTTTATTGATGTTCAGAGATCTCTCAAGCTTTGTCCATTTTAATTTCTTAAGCATTTGTTGAGCACCAACAATGTACTTGTGCCTTTATTGGCCCTGGGGCTAAAGATGAATATGCTTCAACCCTTGACTTTACGCTAGTTGGGAGAAGACAAGGATCATTTTGTGTGCTGAAAGATGAAGGCGGTAAGGGCAGGAGCTTTGGGTGCCAGAGGAGAGATGCTGAGCCAAGTTGGAAATAACAGACTAAGGATGAGAGCTTACTTAGAATCCTTAAATTCCTTACAGCCACACAGGTACCCAGAGAAGAAGGCTGGAGATGATCAAATATGAAGCTTCTGTTCTGTAAATTTCCCTCTTATCTCTATTTCTCTCTCCAATGAATGCTTATTACATAGCAGTATTCTGCAATTAAGGAAAAGACAGAGTTTTAAAAGGTATGTTTCATCAAATTGTTGGGAAGTAACTGCTGTATCCTCCTCTCATTCAACAGTGCTTGGCATGTAGTAGGTACTCATTTAGTGTTTATTTATTGAGTGAAAGAATGATTGGGGAGCTTAGGCTTGCTACTCATGCTGGTCTAGACAAGGCTGAGTGTAGTCTGAGGATACCCTCAGACTCCCTCACACAGGCATTGGGCTACTTGCTTGATAGCTGTGCTGGCATCATGGAAAGCACAGCACAGGGTTGTGTAAAATTATGTGTAAGAGCAAGTGTTAGAAATGGGCATATATAGCCAGATGCAGTGGCACATGCCTGTAACCCCATTTAGTGTCTCAGGAGGCTGAGGCAGGAGGATCACGAGTTCAAAGCCAGCCTCAGCAAAAGCGAGGCACTAAGCAATTCAGTGAGAAATTGTTTCTAAATAAAATACAAAATAGGGCTGGGGATGTGGCTCAGTGGCCTGAGTACCCCTGAGTTTAATCCCTGATATCCCGAAAATGCAAACAAACAAAAAAGAAATGTGCACATATGGGGCTGGGGTGTAGTTTAGTGGTAGAGAGCTTGCTTAGCATGCATGAGGCCCTGGGTTCCATCCCTAGTACTGCAAAACCCCCCAAACCTAAAACACCAAAAAGAAATGTGGGAATGACATTCAGCAAGGACCTCACTCCGGCTGCTAGTTCTTTGGAATGAATGTAGCCATGAGGGTGGGTTATTTACTCCACTGAGGATAGTCCATAAACATTCATTGAGTAACTGGCTTCAAGGGCTCTTCCTCCTCTTTCTTTCTGGCCTGTACAAGAAGCAAAATGAAAGGGTGTGGTGGTGTTGAAGTAATTTCAGCATTAAAAGCTGAAATCTTGGCTTTTGGTCCCTGGGTTGAGAACTCTGTACTCCAGAACTCTCCCTGGGAAGTGGCAGCTATCCTGCCAGTGTTCCAGAGATTCTGATTGCTGGGATGGGGGGTTATGTGCTTTCCACGTGATGATAACTGAGCAGAGCTAACATGGGGTGTGCATTGAGGGAGCCAGGGCTCTCTGGTATACCCTGGAGATTGTCCTGGGTTGTTCTCTTTCCCATTTTGTACTACTTAGTTCTTGCTCTTTCCGGTAGGTGTTTGTATTTGCAGATGCCTCAAGGCTCCCTGCTGCCTTACAGAGAGTCAGTAGAGAGGATAGCTTCTGCTCCTTTGGATTAGGAAATGATTGCTTGGTAATACCTCTGGGTCTTTTGGTGTTTGGTTCTGTCTGCTTTCTCCTTGAAGACCATTTCCTGGCAAGCTGGAGCTAAGAGGAAAGATGTTATTTTAATCAAGGAAGCAAGCAATTGATCAACCAAACTGAATGCTTTGTAAACATTCAGGCATTGATCTAGACGTGTGAGAGGCAATAGGGAGCAAAAATTCAAAGTTTATGCCTTTGTAGAGCTTCTTTTCTAAGGGGTGATGGGTGGATACATGATACACCAGGTTTTCACACGTAAGCACATTGAATAATGTGATAGAGCATATGTGCTCTGGATTAAGAAACATGGAGGAGAAAATAAGGGGCAGCTGAGTGGATCGCTGGGCAGGTTTCACTATTAAATAGGGCAGCCAGGATGGGTTTGAAGCCCTGAAGGAAGTGAGGGGCAGGTCAGTGGAGCCCTAGGTAAGTTTGTTCCAGGCAGAGGGCCGAAGCCCAAGCCTAATGGTGGGGAGGTTATCAGGGAGGCCCATGTGACTGGGTGGTTGAGTAGGTATAGCCTGAGGGGAGGAGGACAGAGTAGGGGAGTGTTATCCATCATAAGCAATCTGATCGTCACATGGAATATGATGTGTATGAAAGTAACCTGACTGTGTGCCAAGAATGAGCTGGGGCAGAAGTAAGACATTTTGCAAGGTTTCTTGTTAGAAATTTGAGTTCAAAAGAATCTTTCACTGAAAAGAGTTCCAGATGCTACCAAATGATACTCTTTGCTCCCACAACAGCAGCTCGAGAGGCATTTTGTAACCTCTTTGAGTCACTCTTTCTGGGGATTACACAGATTATTGTATGTATGGGTCTTGGGAAGGGACCATGTGATCACTTTATTGTATAAGACCATTTTTTGACTATGTGAGAGGAGAGACTCCTGGCCCACCTGGAGTCTCACCCATGGTCTGACTGTCTACAGATGAGCAGAGCCCCAAGGGTAAGTGGAGAGTTCTGATAACCTGTTTGGGGTTAATGATTGGTTGTCAGGGTTGTCTAGGGAAGACAGTGCTCTCAAAGACTGTTTTTGGCTTTGAGAAACTGGCCCATGGTACCACTTTTTGTAATTTGCTGAGGGACCCTATAGGAAGAAACACTGAAGGCTGCTGTTCATGTAGCACAGTGAATGTTTGGTAGCTGCTTTGCTGGAACTTACAGATAAGAGAGATAAAACTGATGTTCTTTCTCTCCAGTTGCTGTGGGCTACATCTGAGGTTCCATAATTAAAAATCTGTGGGGTCAGCTAGCTACCACAAGGCCCAGGCTGTGGAGGCAGGTTGTATTTTTTAAAATTATTTATTATTTTTAGATAAACATGACAGTAGAGTGTATTTTGACATTTTATACATACATGGAGAGTAACTTCCTAGTCTTGTGGTTGAACAGGATGTGGAGTTTCACTGATCGTATATTCATATCTGAACATAGGAAAGTTATGTCCAATTTGTTCTACTTTCTTATTCTCATCCTTCTCCTCTTCCCTTCATTTTCAACTAATCCAATAAACTTCTATTCTTCCCCCTCCCCCATTTATTGTATAATAGCATCCACATATCAGAGAGAACATTTGACCTTTGGTTTTGGGGGGGATTGATTTATTTTTATTTAACATGATAGTTTCCAGTTCCGTCCATTTACTGGCAAATGCCATCATTTCATTCTTCCTATGGCTGAGTAATAATCTATTGTGTATACATACCACATTTTCTTTATCTGTTCATCTGTTGAAGGGCATTTAGGTGGGTTCCATAGCTTCAGAATGGCAATTATCAAGAATATAAGTAATAATAAATGTTTGGAGAAAACAGTTCACTCACCGTTGCTGATGGAACTGCAAATTGGTATAACCACTGTGGAAAGCAGTATGGAGAGTTCCCAGAAAACTTGGAATGGAACTATCATTTGACCCAGTTATCCCACTCCTTGGCATATACCCAAAGGACTTATAATCAGCATACTACAGTGACACAACCATATCAATGTTTACAGCAGCTCAATTCACAATGGCAGATAGGCTTTTATGCTGCAGGAGAGGGAGACACCCTCGAGCTCATGCCCCCTCAAGCACCATGTTGGCACTGCTGGGAGACAGAACCGTGTGTTGATCTCAGTTGTTTTAGAAGTAAAAATTCAGGTTTTTCACATTTTGTTTTTGTTGAATGTGAAGTCCCTAGTTTTAAAAACATTGCTACCCAATTCTGATATTTTAATAATACTGTGTGGGCCAACTTCTGAATTTTACCCTGAGACAGCCCTTTTGAGAATTCTAGGCTACACAGATGAGAGGTTAAGTCACTGTGTTGCAACTGAAGATGAGTGATTTCATGGACTAATCAGTTTTGTTGATTTGTTTTTTTAAACAGCTTTCCCCTCTTTATGGAATTCAACAACCTGTCACTAATTTTTGTCGTACTTGATGATCTTATTTTGAATGGAACAGAGAGTCTGGAAGCTGTTGGAAGTTCTGTTGAAGTGAGTTAGAACATAGATAAATACATTTTTTTGACCACTATTAGTTCCTCCTTTTCTGCAGCCCAGGAGAGCCTCTGAAGGTGGGCGAGGGAAAGCTGGCCTCCAGTTGGGTCAGTTCCACGCCTGCTGGCGCGGTGGTTGCCAGGCGCCTGAGTGATAGAGGCGGTCTAATTAAAGTGGGATTGATTTATTAACAGAGCTTTACTGGTCATATAATTTAACAACTTGGAGGTGTTATGGGGCCTGGGGTATTGCTAAAGAGTGCTAAGGCTCAAGATAATTATTGCCTGACTTGGAGAGAATGACAGATGGGTCCTCATTGTTGCTGTAAATCTAGCCAGCAATTGAACTGGCATTCTTTGTTTAATGTTGTTGAGGGGGCTCTCCGTTGATCCTTGGTTTTCTTGCTGGCACACTCCCCTCTGCATTTCCTGGGCTCTTTGTTTCAACCTTCCATGACCCTCCTTTAAAGCCTGCTGCTTATTCAGCTGAGGGATTTGCATTTGGTTTTGCCTTCACAATGGGTTGCCTGGGTCCCCCTCATTTTCCAGCTGTCTTTCTGTTTGAATTTGAGTTTCCAGCCAATGTGCTTTTTGGCCTGGTGTGACTTAGTTAAAAAAAAAAAAAAAAAGATCTGGTCTTTTAACCAGACCTGTATAAATATTTATTTAAGACGTCTGTTGTGTGCTTCTGGGAGTATAGCTGTTATTACCTCAACCCCTGCCCCCTGATGTGTAAATGAAAGTAGAATGTAGGACAAGCGAAATCCTAGGAGGCAGGAGGTCTCACAGATTGGGAGTGACATTTTGCTTATGTTCCACACCTTGGCTTGCCTGGCCCTCCACCACACTCCCCTGAACTGTTCAGGTCATTAGCTCCCTGACTGTGGAGGAGGCCATTTGACTAGGAAGATGGATTTTAGAAACTTAGATGCCATGAAGATGTGTATGGTAATGTACTTTCCTATCAGCCAGAAGCATTCACAAAGCTCATCATGCACCTACTCCTGGAGGCCCATCAAAATTCTGATTTCTGCTATTTTTATTTTAGACCTCGGGTTGTATTGTTATGAGTCGGATAACTTTTTTTTTCCTGCATATAAAACTATTTTTTTTCCAATGGTCAAATATGATGGCTATAGGAAATGTGGAAAATACAAAAAGTAAAAAAGAAAAGCATCTATTCAAACATTCCTATCTACGATTACCCACTGTTATCATTTGAGGGAATTTCCTGCCCCCTGGTTTTCGGTGCATTTTTAAGGCACAGTTGTGGAGCTAGTTATATCACATCATTTTGTATCTTATCCTAATAACCTCCCATAACTGCCTTTCTGTTCTCTTTCATCTTAGAGCACCTGGCAAGTCAGAGGCCATGAGGGTTATCTCAGGATCTTTGCATTGTCTTTCCATTATCTGCAAGATTCTTTCTCTAGGTAACTACACAGCTGACTCTATTCCTCCTTTGTCTTTGCTTAAATTTCAGCAAAGCTTCTTCTGAACTCCTTGCTAAGTTTGCACCTGCACTAGCCAGAATTCCCTGTCCCAAAAGACCCATCATTTCCCATAGCACCCTGAAACTATGGAACCCAACATACTACCTGTCTGTTTATTTCAATTTTATTATTTTGCTGAATATGTCACTATAAGCATTAAGTTTTTTATATATTTTAAAATAGCTATGTGTAGCCCATTCTTTAAATGGACCATACATGACCGTTACCCTACTACTGGACATTTATATCACATTCATCATTTTGCTATTATAAATCACATGAACCTGCTATGAATATTTTGTATATAAGCATCTTCCATTTTTTAAGCATTAAAAGAAATTCTTGGACATAGGATTATTAGGTCAAAGTATATTGTATTAAGATTCATTTGGCTGCAAGTCATAGAAACTAAACAACTGGCTTAAGAAAATGAAAGAATCATTGGATGATGTATTTGAGGAATTATTGAGTGAGTCTATTTGAGGAATAGAGGGTTAGATTTTCAACAAGGCTGATTGCAGAGGTTCAGTTGGGGCTTTGATCTGTCTCTGATCTTTAATTTCCTTTTTCTCTGTGTTGGTTTCATTCTGAGGTAGTCTTTACCCATTTATGTCAAACTCACCTCCTATGGCTCTTGGTTTTGTCTTATAAGCTGTGTAATTGTCTCTTAGTCATCCTCTTCCCAAAATTATGGACAAACTTGGGAGAGACTCTTATTGCCTCAAATCAAATTTAGACAGCTTTTAATCATTCACTTTGTACATGGGACAAGTTAATGGGATATACTAGAGTGGGCAAAATGTCGTCCTATCCGTATCACTTCAAGTAGGGCGGGTGCAGGTCCCCAGATAAGAATTGCTATGCTCCCACCAGGAGAAAGATTGGATGTTGGGCAGGGCACCAAAAATTATAACTATGAACATTTAAAAGACTCTGAGTAAAAAGGAAAAGCTGGGATGGCTGGGCATGGTGACACACGCCTGTAATCCCAGCAGCTAGGGAGACAAGGCAGGAGGACTGCAAGTTCAAGGCCAGCCTCAGTAACCGAGTTAGGCCCTGTCTCAAAATGAAAAATAATAAGGGCTGGGGATTTGGTGCCCCTGGGTTCAATCCCTGATACCAAAGTGAGAAGCGGAAAGGGAGGAAAGAGAAAGGACCCCAATGCATGGTAAGAATGCATTTACATTTTTGCAATTCCAGCCTAACAATGGCAAAGCTGCAGAGGAGGAAGCCCAGGCCACAGCTCCCTGGGGAATTGAATGAGGTTCCCCAACCTATAATAGTATGCCTTGTAGGCTCTTGGTGGTCACTAGCCTAAGTGCATGTCAAAATTATGAGGCATGGAGACAGGTTCTACTGTGAATATCAAAAACATTCTTGGAGATTCCTCTAAGGAATTCTGGCAATAGTACTATTCAGATAAAGATAGGTTGCTTATATCAGGGGCTTCATTCCAGAGCAGCTGCAGGGTATATTAATCAGGACCTGGACCTATATACTGATGGCCTTGGTGATATCATTATCACTTCTGTGGGCTCTGTGGGCCCTATCTTGATAAGAACAGCCTTCACGGGAGAACTCGGCTTCACTGTTTCCTGGTTTCCCTTCTCTTTGTTGATCTTGCCAGTTTGCAGCATAATTATTTAAGGTTGACAGGTCCCATGTCTGTTGTCCACTGTTAAACCTAATACCTGCCTTGTGGGCAATCTTGAACTTTGTTGGCCCCATGGTGGCTTTTGGCTATGCTCAGTCATATGTGCATGGAGCTCCAGGGGCCCCTAACACATCATCTTTGCCTTGGGTGATCTTCCTGGCCCAGGTGAAACTCATTTGTAGCATGTGGGAAGCTGGAAATATCTCAGCACCCCATGGGGGTGGGGATATAGTTCAATTGTACAGCACTTAACTAGCATACAAGAGGCCCTGGATATGAGCCCCCCAGCACTGCCTCCCTCCCCCCAACAACAACAAAAACAAAATGTCCCATGGATTACCCTGCAGTCTTACAGAACAGAACTGTTTAAATCCATCTGACTTTGTTTGTCTGTTGAGATTATTTATAACCCAGAATTAGGATATATTGTGATGAATTATGGACCAAAGAAAATGAAGTTATTACTTGATACTCTTCATAAATTCTTCAAAGGCCATCTGAACTCTTCCATTTGAGTCCTGTGCTAATGACTATTTGCTGTTATTTAACAGCAAACCTGGGGACCTGGCCACACGGGGAAGTTGTCAGAGCCAAGGCTGTGTGAAGGGCCCTTCAGTGTACTCTTGATTCCCCATGCAATTTTTTGGCATTTCTCCTTTTCCATGTCATTAAGGAAATTAGATGGAGGCAATTTATAAGGAAATTATACATTCTCTGTTAAGGACTCTTGCATTTTCCATGGTACACGGAGGACAGAAGAATATTAATATTCCATTGTGCCTCAGTTATCCATCTACTGGGCAGGTATAATTCTCACAGCAGAACTCTCCAGTATAATTTAGAGTGTTCAAAATCATGGACACTGAGCTCCCCTAGAGTCAAGGAGTTGGCTGTTTAGTGGCATCTCCTTTGATTTCTGATTTATGAAATGAGTTTCTTACATATTTCACTATAATTATGTAAGCATCCACCTTTTTGAAATCTGTGGACTACTATATAAATGTCTAGTCTAAACAAATTACTCAGATACTGATATTTTAAAATCATGGCTTACCACTTACAAAACAGGTGATCTGTGATGACAGGTGAGGGAAGCTCTGTTTTATTTGTGTGTTGTCCTTGGTGCCCAGGCTGGAGAGCACAAATGGAGACAGAGTGGGAGCTCTGGCCTGACACCTCTCTTTGAATCCCATTTAGATTATGTCTGTGCAAGATCTTAGTACGATCTTTCTTTTCAGTTGTGCTGACAAGGAAGCACAGCTGAGATGTTCTAAAAATAGGTCATAAAGGGAAAACCCAAATACCCTCTATGACTTCTATGATGAAATTTTGTTCAGTTTAGTTAACAATGACTGAGCACTTACTGTAAGCCAGTTTCATAGGTCATTTCTCCCATGCTCAGGGCAGTGGTGCCAGGGATCAGCTACCTTTTATACACATGTTGACAGGGTCCTGGAATTAATGTTCTTTGGGAAGGTACAGTGGCCTTTTATACCACCCAGCTACTGTCTTGTAGTACTGCATTGCTGAGAAAGCTACAGCCAGGCACTGCACAGCTGGCTCTATACCCTCCCTGAACTAGTAAGAGCAACAGCAGGAACACCAGGAGCTGTTCCTGACAAAGACAGAAAGGTGAGGGGTTTAGTTTCTCATTGTCCACTCATACCTTGAGCCCTGGAGTGTAGCTGAGTTGCAGGGAGGACTAAGAAACATTGGGTACCCTAGTTTTAGTCTCCATTACTGATTGTACCCCAGGCTTGTCTTTCTGCTCCTCAGTCTTTTTATAGCAAACAAGGGTTGATGAAAGCTCCAGTGTTTACAACTTCAATTGTAACTACGTAAATTGACCAACAAGGCTGTCTTGTAGTAGCAATCATTAAATCACAGAAAATGGAGTATGTTTGCTCCGCTTTGGGTCGGGTGACCCCTTTGTGGCTGGGAGCAGGGGCACACAGCACAATGCTTAAGCAGTTGACTTTCTGGAGTCTGTTGTTGGGGATTGGATGGCAAATAGATCCCTAAAAAGGGACATTTGGGGTGAATGGAAGTCCATATAGGTGCTGACCTCTGTGCCTGCCTCCCACCTGTGCTCACTAGCAATACCTAGGCTCAGGATCCAGCTGCTTCCAAGCTTTACTGACCCAGAGGTGGTTGCATTCCTTGAAGGGTGGGCGTTGCTTGTTGAATATGGCTTTTGTTTGATGATCTGCCTTTATTGAGTCAAATTGAGGATAGTTTTTGAAGCTGGCCTTTGCTTTGGCACAAAATATAATTAGACAAATGTGCCACCCAATTGACTCGTACCTCTAATTTTTGAATATGGATAAAATGTTTTAAGTAACTGCAGACATCTATTGTTTAATCTGAGATCACTTGTCACTTTTTTTTTTAAACAGCTGTGTTGATATCTATAAAACTCCAGTGGGCAAAAAAAAAAAAAAAATTGTATGTTAGCAATAATGTGCACATTAGATATCATTAGATTACTAGATAATAATTACCTTATTATGGGAGGAGTTTGGATGGTTGAAGTTTCACTTTGAAAGTTTAGCATATTTTCCAGTTCCCCATCACCACTTTCTAAATTCTCAAAGTCTCCGAAGTAATTTGATTGACAGCTACTTAAGCACGCTTATCCTGAAGTTGGCTCTTGGGTGCTTCTGAACATGCTGGGGAGGGAAGTTCTTGCAGGCAGAGTTTGGAAATCTTTCACTCTCAATTTTTTAAAATTCTCAGATTTTTACAAGGACAGTTAATTTTTAATTTTATTCTCTTGGAGCTTTTTCACTATTTAAAAGGCCATATCAAATGTATTGATATACACACAAGTGAGAGAAATTGTCCATGAGGTTTTAAAATATTCTGAATAATATTTTCTTTCTTTTTAGCTGTCTCCGTTATGAGGTACAGCGCCTCTGCTTTTGGGTTTGCAGTAAGTAATCTGAAATGTACTTTCATGAAATTTTGCACGATTTTCTTAAGCTCATGAGTCTCACCCTAAGCCCTCAAATAAGAGGGTGGTTGGAATGGGTAACACACCTTTTATGGAAACAGCTTCTATAAAAATTATAATTCAGTAGAATTAAACTACAATGAGACTATATTTCTCAAGCACAGTTGGGAGGGAACCACATTTTTAACAAAGTGGTTAGTTGAGAGGGTGTTTTAGGAATCTCAGTCCTTTTTTCTCTTCCAGGTTGTGTGTAGACCTGGCCTGTACTGGAGTGATGCATTTGCTGGTGTAGACAGAGCTGTTTGAGAGTTAGGATTAATACTACTCACATTGGGATAAGCCAGTCTGTAGCCCAGCTAGGACTGCCTGAATTCTCAGCCTGCCCCCTGAGGGAAGTTGGTCAGAGAAAGCAGGTCTCTTTTTACAGGGTTGGGGTTAGTATGTTGAAGCATTGGGTGACAATTCCCCATGCCCCTTCAAGTGTCAGTGCTTATAGTTTTCTGGATGAGCGGTGTGACATGGTGTGATGACTCACAAAAGAGCTCATTTCATATCCCTTCTGCATAGAGGTAGGGTTTCCTGTACCTGAGGGTATGTGTGCATGTTCCCAAACCCACTTCTGCCCTTTGTTGTTAAGAATTTAATGTTTGGTGGGCATGCAGATTCTTTTCAGAATCTGAAGAAGGATATGGTTTGTCGAGAATAATGCGCACCACTGCACACACACCACATCTATACCCACACACTTTCTTCCTTCACTTTAGCAAGACCTCCCCTTTCCCCTGAACACCCTCTCCTTCCATCCATTTTTTCCTCTCTCTGCATTTCTCTTATTCAAACAAAGAGCTAAATTTTGTATGCAATATTGAAGTGTTGGTGTACTTCCTGGAGCCTCTGGGTGACTCCTATCCTTACCCCGAACCCAGGTAAAGCAGTTCCTTTGACAGCCAGTAAAAGGTTGTTGGCTTGGAATATGCAGGAAAATGCTGAAATTATCTTGCTGGCCTTGGGGAAACCAGGGCCACATCTTCTAGAACAGTGTACCCTGTCCCACATTTCCAGACTGCTAAGAGTCAGGGGCTGTGGCAGCAGATCCCACCAATAACACAGGGGCTCTGATGCTGCTACCAGGTTAGCACTTGGGTACTGAGGCTCCAGTCTCCCCAGATTTTACCATGAAGATCTTGAATGGCTGCATCAAAGCGTCCAGAAAACAGTGCTTCGAATCACTCATTCAGATATTCTGAATCACAGCACAGTTCTCCTGTGTCTTCATAATCATGCCCCATTAACTCTGGAAAACCACTAAAGTCATGTCTCTTTCTTCTAGTTTGATGCCATCCTGGATGTCCTGTCATCAGCGATTGTCCTGTGGCGTTACAGCAACGCGGCTGCGGTACACTCTGCCCATAGAGAGTACATGTAAGTAGATTCTCATCTTTTTGCAGACTTCAGAACTCTTACAAGTGAGGGCATGCAATGAGAAGGTCCCCAGACTGCCTTTGAAGGCACCTGATGTGATTTTTAACCACGTGACAAGTCTCTCCTGGGTGGTTAAAAAGATGGGATGTATCTGTTTAATTCTCTGTTCCCTGCTCTTCAGTCTGGAGTGAATATTTATTTGCTTGTCTGTCCGTACTTCCTTTCTTTCTTCCTCCCTCCCTCCCTCTCTTCTTCCCTCCCTCTCTTTCCCCTCCTTTTTCTTTCCCAGGACCACACATGTGCTAGGCAAGTACTCTACCACCGAGCTACACCCCACAAACCCCCAGAGTCAGATTTTGGGTTTTGAGAATCAGTACTTGCTATCTCCATATTGCATTCCCTCATCTGGAAAAGCAGGAAATAATTTCTTCTCTATGCATTGTGATGAATACATATACATGGATGTACATAAATATATTAAATTTTGTGTGTTTATGTGTGTGAACATGTGTGTGTCTGAGGGCAAGAGTTTTGCCCTGCCTCTGCAGCTTTTGAATGGTTCAACACAAATGAGCAAATGCCTCCCTGCTGAGGTTTATGATAGTGCCTGGAGAAAAGGTATTTTTAAAAATTAATTTATTATTTTGTTGCATTATAATTATACATAACAATGGGATTCATTATGCCAGTTTTGTACATGCACATGACCTAATTTGGTCGATCTCATTTCCAAGTACCTTTCCTTTCCCTTCCCTCCTTCCTGCCTCTGATCTACTTGCTCTATTCAATTGATCTCTCTTCTATTATTATTATAATCTTAATTAACTAAAATTATATGTAAAAGTGGGATTGATTTTGGTATATTTGTACATAGGCATGGCATAATTTGGTAGATTTTATTCCCAGTACTTCCCCATACCCTGCCCTCTTCTCTTCCTCTCAATCCTTTTTCTCTACTCTATTGGTTTTCTAGAAGGTACTCTTGAATGGGATGGTAAGCTGTACTCTTAACATTCAAGGGTTGAGATGTCTCTTTGATGCCAGGAGATGCAGATAGTAATGTACTTGAGATTGAATTTGCCTAATGGAAAATTCAAAGATGACACCATAATGAATTCACTAATGAATTTTAGTTTACTTTATTGTTGGTTTTAGGTAGTACACAGAAACTTCTTTTATGTGTTAAATACTTTTATGTGTTTTAGCTCTTTTAACAAATATTAAGTATTGAGTTTGTGATATCATGGATCATTTTAGGGAAAGTTAATTTTAAAAAAGTGCATTAATTTGTGGCTGAAAAAAAAACAAGAAAACAATTGTAAGTACCAAATTACAAGCAGTGGTTCTGAAATGATCAAAGTTGTATTAACACTGGTCTATGTGAAGGAGCAGCTAATGCTTCTACCCAATCTGTTATGTGGGTATTTGAGAAATTCAGTAAAAGAAGTCTCCATAGCATTATCTAGGGAAATGCTTGGATTTCAAGAGCTAGCCACTATCTTGTCAGAAGAACATGTAATCTTCAGTTCTATAGTTGCACTATCCAATATTCTTGCCACTAATGTAATATTTTAGCATTTGATCTGTGGCTTGTCCAAACTGAGATATGTTGTAAGTGTAAAATACCTACTAAATTCCCAAGACTGTAAGAAAAAAAGAATGTGAAAGTTTTATTAATGTTGAAAATATTGATTGCATTACGTTGGTATCAGAATACTTTAGATGTATTGGACTAAACTATTAGAACTACTTTTTCTTCTGTTTATTTTTTTTTTTTT